TCACCAAAAAAAAAAAATCTCACTCCAAGCTGAACTTAAATGTTGGCAGCCCTGCTAGAAAGGGAGGCAAAAAAACCTAAAACCAAACGCCAAACCAAACAAGGCAGTTTGGTCAGATTTCAGGAATGAAGGAGTTTTCTCACCAGATGACTTGAGGTTCAGGGAACGCTCGCAGTTTGGGAGAGATTCTGTAAGATTTCTGTCCTGCCTGTACTTTTATCACAGATCCATGTCTGGGCTTCAGGCGAATAAACGGACGGTCTAAAAAAGAAGAGAGACACATGCACATCTTTGGGTCAGTTGATCACAGAATGAAACTCTCAACAGCTTTGAGATATAAGGAAGTACTCTCTGCATATTATGTCTGCTGTTGAATCATCAGACTGTAAGGCGGTTTCAGAGGGAGACGCTCACCAAAGACCGTGACATTGACTCTCTGCTCTTTGGTTTTCTCCCCGCTGGTCACGCGGCAGGTGTACAGGCCTCGGTCGGAGCGTTGCAGCTTCGGGATGGTCAGAATATTGTAGAACAACATGTGCGTTCTGTGTTTCAGGAGCCGTTTGGAGGTGGAGCCGGTGTTATTGATCTGAAGTTGGAGAGGGAGGAAAATCTGTGTGTGATTGGACTTTTCATTTGAAAAATCTTTAAATTTAACTTTTGATTCAAGGATTCCCATTGGTGCGAAGTATAATCACAAATTCTTTAGTTTGGTTCAACCCTTGTTGTTGTTGTGAGTCATCCATTCACACTTCCCACACATTTCCTGTAAGTTCTACCATGTGAAACCATGTGTCAATGTAAAAATAAAGTCACAAATAATAAACCCCTGATGGCATAGACTTTGCAGAAGTACATTTATATCAACTTTAAATGGTTGATAACATACTTGAGTAAGAGCTGCATGTTAACAGAGTTATCCCCGCCTAGCCAGTCTCTTTTAAAGGTCAATCGTCTCCTCAGACTTGAATGCAGCTCTGACCTTTCCGGGGTAGTCCCAGGTGATGTTCACTCTGGTGTTCAACTCCCCGGTGGCGGTGCAGTTCAACACCAGCCTCTCCCCCTTCAGAGCCTCCACAGGTCCACTGCTGTTCAGGTACACGTCCATGATGTTACTCACTGCGACAAGAGAGACACAAATTATGGACTTAAAGATCACCTATTGTGCAAAATCCAATGTTTATGTATTGTCTACATCCCCTCTGTGTAAAGAGATTATGAAAGTTTCAGGAGAAAAGATTCACTTTTTGTCCTGATCCATTTATATAAAAACCTGTCTGAAAATGAGCTGATCAGATTGTGGCCACTTTGTGATGTCATAACGATGTTTTGTCTTGTGTAACCATTAGCCAATCAGCAACCAAGGTAACCCCTCCCACCTTATCACCTGATGTGCTGTTTACACAAGAACGCAACGGTTGTATCCGCTACTTTTCTCTTTCGTATAGCCCGTTCGTTCACACGGGGCCGTAACGGAAACGCGCAAACGGACCCCGCAAATAATAACGGGTCCCAAGGTGGATAGATCTGCAACCGGAAGGCTCTGGGGGGCAAAACGGCACAGTGTGTAAGCCCTATGCGATCATTTCCTGAGCTACTGACCATGCTACAGATGTTAGTGCAAAATCTACAGCTCCTCTACCACAACCATCAGTAACAAGTGGACATGGAGAACTACATGAACTACATGTTGCTAAATCCACCGCGGGGCATAAACAGAAAGGCAACCATGGCAACCATGCTCGGGGAACTTCTTCGCTGCTTTTGGTGTATTTTGTGGCGGAAGTACAGCGCCACTTACAGGCCCCGCATATGTACTACAGCGTCTCCAGGGTCTCCCGAGCGGTCTCGTGTGAACGGAAGACTTTTTTTATATCGTATTCGCTTCGTTTGCGTTTCGTATGCGTTTGCGTGTAAATGGGGTCTG